GTTTGATTTTGACATGATTAAGGTAATTAAACACCATGATCATAGTATTAAACTGATTAATTGTATTATTATAATGACGATCACTTAAAATTGTTAAGGATATTCCTGACATTAATGTCATACATATTTACAGTACTTAATGCCCTAGTTCTAGTGATTGCAATACATTAAACTTTCATAGTAGGACTAAGCCTAAATTTCTACATACCACCCTCATACCTGGACTTGCAATACTATATTACATTATCACGGTCATGCCAGGCATTGCAGTACTATATTACATTGTCACGGTCATACCAGGCTTTGCAATACTATATTACATTGTCACGGTCATGCCAGGCCTTGCAACACTATATTACATTGTCACGGTCATACCAGGCCTTGCAGAACTATATTACATTGTCACGGTCATGTCAGGCCTTGCAGTTCTATATTACATTGTGACGGTCATGCCAGGCTTTGCAATACACATTATCACGGTTATAGCAGTCCTAATCATAAATTTCTACATTACTACTCTTATACCAGGCCTTGCAATACTATATTAAATTACCACGGTTATGCCAGGCCTTGCAATACTATATTACATGTCACGGTCATGCCAGTCGTTGCAATCTTTATGTCAACATTACCACGGTCATGTCATTCCTCATTGCAATACATCATCAAGGTCATTTCATGCTTCATTGCAATGTATTATCACTGATTGAGTTTAACCCTACTATCACACCAAACTAGTTTTCACTACGTTCTCGAAAACGGGCTTCAACTGTGTAGGCTACGAGCAGACTGGGCGTAGACCGTTTGGGGTATATTTACAAACGCCATCGAACGTACTCGAATGGGCAGGTCCTCTAGAACTTAGAACATGCTCAAAATGTTCTCGTGGTCGATACGTTCTACAATTTGAAGTGACAACGTACTAACGACGAGCTGGACGTACTACGAACGGAACCGTCGTATATCAATCCTACTAGGGACGTTTTAACAACGAGTTGAACTGTCTGAGGACGTATTGAGAACGAGGTTAAACTAATTGCAAACGGGTTTAAATTGATTAAGAATGTATTTAAGACTGCTTATGAAGGAGTAAGCAAAAATATAGCTATCACACAAAACAAGTTGCCTTCTTCAAAACTTGTTTTAAACTGTGTGCGAACGGAATGAACGTAACTGCAACTTTCTAAGATCTATTTACGAACTTCATGAACGTTCTCAGACGGGAAGGAGATTTTAGAATTTTGAATCGATTCAAAATTCGATGGCGACCATACCGTTCTGTAATCAGGTCATGATGACCTTCTAGACTAAGGGACGCGTTATACCACGTTGCACACCGATGTGGTGCGATCTGAACGAACTCCGAATGAGATGGAAGTATTGAAGACTGTTTATGAACGAAGTAGCTAATTATTTTAGACATACTTCCCGATCACAGCCAGATTGAGCCCGTTTTACGACGTTTTCGTAGGACTGGCAAGAACGGGCCTGAAGAACTAGTTTGGTGTGATATTACATTTATCTGGGAAATATCAAATGGTGAACGCCATGAATTTACAGAGTTTACTGCATTTAAAGATTACTGGGTTTTAAGTCTACAGATTTAATGTACATTTTTATAGGGTTATGTTATAATCAGAGTAGAATGCGCCATAGTTTGAGTGAGATTAAGCTTAAACGTTCGTTTCGGTAACAAAATGTCGGAACGTCGAAGATACAATTTTTCTTTATTTTACGCGTTCAGACGTTGTAAGCAGAATCCCCACGACTTTTTTCTCACAAACGTGTATCAGTATCATATGTTTTAGAAAATGTACATGGTTGCGAAAAAATAGCTCAGAAGACAACAGAATCGTCGATTTAATTTCCTCACTTAAGTTGCATAAACGGTTTGGGTTAAAAGTGCAGATCTTAACTGTTTTAAAGAAAAATCGTACCTTCGACGTTCCGACATTTTGTCACCGAAACGAACCAGCGTAATCGAGTGGATCACCAATGTATTATATACTTGAATTATTATGTATATTGTATATGCTATTATGGTATGAATAAATAATTATTGCATTACTAATACTTGTTTATGTGTTAAGGAAGGTGAATAGACAAAACAATTAACATAACCTAAATTAGATTTTATTCAAATTAATAATAATTCATACATGTACTATGCTAAAAAGCTTAAAATTTAAAAATGTTTCTATTGTGTTAAATGTCATACATGTAGAAAAACCTAATTCAAACATGTTTCCAAATAAATGTGAATCACTTTATATTTTAACAGTATACTGTTTGACATATTATGAATAATTATTAAAGTGCAATATAATTGTTTCATTTTGTTTTTATGTCACCACCAAAAGTGGTGACATATTGTTATGGTCTCCGTTTTTTGCGACGGCGGTTGGTGGTTGGAGGTTGGCGTCCGGCGTCCGGCGTCTGTAACAATTTCTTACAACTTCCTATAACTTAACAAATACTGTTTAGACTGACTTCAATTTTTTTCTAAATCATCTACATGTTCTCATCAGAAGTTCAAATCTGACTTTAGATTTGACATTTGACCTTCAATGACCTTCTCAAGGTCAAAAAGGTCTTTTTTCAACTTGCTTCACATTGACTAAAAAAATTTTCAAAATCATATACATGTTCTCAGAAATTCAAATCTGACTTTAGATTTACTTTAGATTTGACATTTGACCTTCAAATCTGACTTTAGATTTGACATTTGACCCTCAATGACCTTCTCAAAGTCAAAAAAGGTCAAAAAGGTCTGTTTTCAACTTGCTTCAAATTGACTAAATTTTTTTTTCAAAATCATCTACGTGTTCTCAGAAATTCAAATCTGACTTAAGATTTGACCTTCAATGACCTTCTCAAGGTCAAAAAAGGTCAAAAAGGTCTGTTTTCAACTTGCTTCAAATTGACTAAAAAAAATTTTCAAAATCATCTACGTGTTCTCAGAAATTCAAATCTGACTTTAGATTTGACTTAAGATTTGACATTTGACTTCAATGACCTTCTCAATGTCAAAAAAGGTCAAAAAGGTATTTTTTCATCTTGCTTCAAATTGACTAAATTTTTTTTTCAAAATCATCTACATGTTCTCAGAAATTCAAATATGACTTGAGATTTGACTTGAGATTTGACATTTGACCTTCAATGACCTTCTTAAGGTCAAAAAAGGTCAAAAAGGTCTTTTTTCAACTTGCTTCAAATTGACTAATTTTTTTCAAAATCATCTACATGTTCTCAGAAATTCAAATCTGACTTTAGTTTTGACATTTGACCTTCAAATCTGACTTTAGATTTGACCTTTGACCTTCAATGACCTTCTCAAGGTCAAAAAAGTCTTTTTTCAACTTGCTTCAAATTGACTAATTTTTTTTTCAAAATCATCTACATGTTCTCAGAAGTTCTTCTTAAGGTCAAAAGGTATTTTCCAACTTGTTTTAAATTGACCAAATTGTTTTAGGTGGTGACATTTTGTCATGTTAATGCCTTGTCTACATTTACAGTTGTATCGTCGGTTATATGCTGTACCAACTAACTATAATTACAATGACTGTGCAAATAGGGTATTCACCCGTTCAAAGACAAAATACTTGTAAAAAGTTATAGTTATATAATTATGGATTGCATGCAACATAAAACTAAAATGAACTGTGATATATGTAATATTTGATACATATGATAAATATTTTTTAATTCTATTGATGTGAATAGCGCCTCTGAATATTTGTGTACCTGTGTGTCTAAGTTCTTCATAAGAATTACTCAGATGCGAGTAAGAAGTTACCAGTTTCGCCACCAGGTGGCTGATTCGGGGGAATTAACATGGCAGGGTATTACAAAATTCCCTTAAACTTATATATGCATCAGGATAGCGGTTCACTTTTCATATTACCTTTATGTATCTGATAGTTATACAAATTAAAATATGTCCAGTAAAAGAAAATATTATCTGCCCAACACAAGAAAATATATTTCACTTTTTGTGGTTTTACAACATGGGGTCTATGGGGAATCTCCCCGACCTAGAAGTCACATTTTCAAAGAAAATTAAATTTTCAAAGTTGATAAACTCTTTTGAAAACCACATTTCTAAATGTAATTTTACATGTTGATTCCAAATATGACATCAGTTTGAATGAATTGTGAATTTTTAATGACGTAAATCAAGATTATTTCTACTCGCATCTGGGATATTGCACACACATAGAAGAAAGTGTATCTCGTCCTCAACAGTGTGATTGTCACAGTGACATCGACGATCCTGGAGTGGGGTACTAGTATTGCGATAACGTCCAGTTTCAACCTTCAATGGGAGTGCTCCGCCTCCGTTGGCCAATTGCTTTGGGTTCGCTCCTTGACATGTTAATACAAGTATAATGGGCGGATTCTACAGTGTGTTTTAAACAGTCTATACAGTATGTTCGTAATTGTTGCAATTTTAGGCTATTATTATCGTCCCAAAGACTGTTGTGCCATTCGACGTGACCTGCCCGTATACACATTAAATTGATCATACAGCTGCTGAGCTGGGCGATGTATTAATTCGGGTATGGATCCCTGGTACTTCAATATCGACATATTGACACCAGTATGGATCCTTTAACCAATATAAAATACGAATTACATATATTGAATTCCAACCAATGTCGCAAACTGAATACGTACAAAATATTTAAAAGCAATTTCAGGTTCGAACCATATTCACGGGTAGTATCTAAAGCCCCGCTATGATTTAAAAATCGCGAGCAAGTTCCCGCTGAAATCGCGAGGAATAAAAATAAAGCATGGGTTCTTTTTTTGTGTTCTTGAATTGTATGATTTACAAAACGTTTTCTTTTAATTTTTCCCAAAGATTACATGGTATTGAGACTAAAAAAGCAACTGCTGGAAAAAATGTATCACGAACGGTCGTTCTGTGGTTCGTTATTTGTCAATTGAAGAGAGAAAGTATCATTTTGAATCTTTATCTTTATATTTCTATATGTTATTGGTGAAGAACGATGTTGTCCTGTGGTTGAAATAACGATAGTGATATGAAATAAAGATGTACCGAGTTTCACTTCCTAAAGCTATTTTATCATATCCCTCAAGGCCCTGCTTCTAGCAGGAGCAATTAAGCAAAGATCCCGCTGAAATCAGGAGGAGGCCCCGCTGAAAACATGAGGAGGTCCCGCTGAAAACAGGAGCAAGTGTCTCTCAAAAATGGAGTGAATCCCGATTATACCCTGAAAATCTCCCACTTTCGTACCCACCTTGATCCACTATTGTACCCAGTTTGATGAATACATTATTTGTTAATACAATTCTCAATAACAGCAAACACAACTGTTAATATAGTTCATATTATGATACGTTGTTATGGAAAACTGCAGTATCATATTTCCATGCCATTTTACAGAATACGAAAGATCATCTGAGAAATGTGATGAGTATTAGATCGGACGAAATGTTAAACATTTAACCTCATTTTCATAATTTGAAGTAATATAAGTTATTGAATGATTTGAAGTGCAGTATAGGATATATTGTGCTCAAAAAATTCTGCATTGGCACGAGATGAAATCAAGTGGAAATACAGCATATCGAGAGCACAATATATCCTATGTTGCGCTTCAAATCGTTGTATAACGTTTTTTATCGTGTGATCTTACTTAGTCCATAAGAAATATTCTGTATTCTCTGTATTTCAACTGTCCCCTCTGTTCCATCTTTGAGTACAAGTCGATATTCAGTAAGATACACGAATAAGTGTGCGTTTAGGTCAACCTAAAATGATTTAGTCAGAATAATGTTTATGAATATTATTCCTATATCAATCTCCTGTTGCTTACTTGCTTGCTCGCTTCCTCCCTTCCTTGCTTCTTTCCTTCCTCGATTCCTACCTTCCTTTCTTCCTCGCCTCTTCTTTTCTTGCTTCCTTCCTTCCTCGCTTCCTTCCGTCCTTGCATCTTTCCTTCCTCGCTTCCTTCCTACCTTGCTTCCTCGCTTCCTTCCGTCCTTGCATCTTTCCTTCCTCGCTTCCTTCCTTCCTCGCTTCCTTCCTTCCTCGCTTCCTTCCTTCCTCGCTTCCTTCCTTGCTTTTTTCCTTCCTCGCTCCTTTCTTTCCTCCTTCTTTGTTTCCTCGCTTTCTTCATTTTCTTCCTCACTTCCTTTCCTCCTTCCTTCCTTGCTTCATTCCTTACTTCCATGCTTCCTCGCTTCCTTCCTTGCTTCCTCGCTTCCTTCTTTCCTTCCTTCCTCGCTTCCTTCCTTCCTCACTTCCCTCCTTCATTCCTTGCTTCCTTCCTTTCCCGCTTCCTTTTTCCTCCTTCCTTGCATCCTCGATTCCTTCAATTTTTCCTCGCGTCCTTCCTTTTTCGCTTCATTCCTTCCTTGCTTCCTCGCTTCCTCCCTCGTTTCCTTCTCTCCTCCTTCCTTGCTTCCTCGCTTTCTTCTTTCCTTGCTTCCTCGATTCCTTTCTTCCTCACTTGCATCCTCCCTTCCTTGCTTCCTCCCTTCCTTCTTTCCTCCTTCCTTGCTTCCTCGATTCCTTCATTTTTTCCTCGCGTCCTTCCTTTTTCGCTTCATTCCTTCCTTGCTTCCTCGCTTCCTCCCTCGCTTCCTTCTCTCCTCCTTCCTTGCTTCCTCGCTTTCTTCTTTCCTTGCTTCCTCGATTCCTTTCTTCCTCACTTGCATCCTCCCTTCCTTGCTTCCTCCCTTCCTTCTTTCCTCCTTCCTTGCTTCTTCATTTCGTTCATTCTTTCCTCGCGTTGTTCTTTTGTCGCTTCATTCCCTCCTTCCCTCCTTGCTTCCTTGCTTTCTCGCCTTCTTCCTTCTTTCCTTACTTACTTACTTCCTTGCTTTTTTTCCTTCCTTCCTTTCTCGATTCTTTGCTTGCTTCCTTCCTTCCTTGCTTCCTCGTTTCCTTCCTTCCTCGCTTCCTTACTTGATAGCTTCCCTGCTCAATTCTTTACTCGCATCGTTCCTTCCTTGCTCCCTCGATTTCCTTGCTTCCTTCCTTCCTTCATTGCTTCTTTCCTTCCCTCCTTCCTTCCTTTTTTCCTTCCTTGCTTACTTATATTACTCCCACCTTCACTTCCTCGATTTACTTCCTCCATTCCTTCTTTACTTGCTTGCTTACTCAATTACTTACTTTGTTGCTTGTTTACTTCCTCGCGTCCTTGCTTGCTTTCTTGATTATTTACATTCTTTCATATGGCAGTGGAAAGACAAATTTTGATGAAAACCTGCAAACGAACAAACGAACGAGGAAAGAACGCACGGATGGACAGAAAACAGCCGAAAAAACAATGAATGAACAAACGGACGGATAGGCGGCCAAAAGAACGCATGAAGGAAAGATAGAAGAAAACAATTTACAAAAGATCGAACCCACGCACGCAAGAACGTAGTTACAAACAAACGCACGAATGAACGCACGCACAAAAGAACACACAAACGAACGCAAAAAGAACGAACAGACGAACGCACGCATGAATGGACTGTTGAACGAAAGCACGCACGGACGAACGGATGCCTAGACGGACGAACTCATGAAGGGCAGTCAGACGAAAGCAGGCACAAACGGACGGTCAGACGAACGCATGCGCACACAAACGGACGGACAATCGCACGAACGGATGCACGCACGAACGAACGAATGGACGGTCGGACGAACGCTGTCACGAATGCATGGTTGGGCGATGCACGCACGAACGAACAATCGGTCGGATGAACGCACGCATGAACGAACGGACCGTCGGACGAACGCACGGTCAGACGAACGCACGCACGAACGAACGGTCGGTCGATTGCACGCACGAATGAACGGTCGGACAAAGAAACCAAGCAATATACATGTATGTGTCCTCAGAAGTATAATCCTTGGAATAGTGAATTATGTAGAATGTACATTTAACTCCGAAATGTACAAAGTATATTTACATATAAAAATTTGATCATGCCGCTGACAGATGGATTAGACTGCCTGAAGTTGAAGTAGAAATATTTGTGATGTTGCCATAGAATGATATGTTATGTGAATGTCATTAATACGTTATCGTGTACGTTCATATAAAGAAGCTCACTTTATTCATGGAATAATGATGAAGCTTTCCTCGTGATCGAAGCGGGTAGTCGTGAAATTTGCTCGTGTTTTCAGCGGGGTCTCCTCATGTTTTCAGCGGGCCTCCTCATGATTTCAGCGGGGCCACTTGAACACCTTTAATAATGTATTTCGACCCCCATGGCAGGTGTCATTGTCCAGTAACTTATCAATACAGACCATCTTGATCCGATATTTATTATAGAGTATGTAAATCGTATTTATTGCCTTTATTTTAACGATAAAGGTAATATATGAACAGTAAATTATGCAAACGTGCATGTTGACGCCCCTTTCCTTCATGCAAGTAAAAAAAAAAATCATTTTTCATGTCATTTTTTGTCAAATATATCTGTTTTCAAAGTTTTGCTGGAGTATCAAAGAACGGTAATAAGTATTTTCATCCTTTTGGTTCATTTTCTAAAGTGATACAAATAAACAGGACTATGCTCGCGATTTCAGCGGGAACTTGCTCGCGACTTTTCAATCATAGCGGGGCTTTAGATACTACCCGTGATATTTAGTTTCAATTTCAAATGGGCATTTACGACGAAGTCTAACAAAGTTTCGTATCAGTAACCACAAATTAAAAATAGAAACGGGTAGAAACGAACGCCTAAAATTAAAGATCGATGAAAGTATTTGCGAGGTGTGCAATTTAATAGAAAACGAAAAACATATAATGCTTTCATGTGAAGAATACACTATATATAAAAAGCAAATGCTCGATAAACTTAAATCAAGAGATTGAAATTGTAGCAGAATTTATTCATAAATGTAATATAACATACAAACATAGAAGGGTGTGATATATGACATAAACAATGGACGCGTATCACAATCACCATTAATGTGCTCATCCATGATACATATTTATTTGTTCATTTATTTACTTATTTATTTATTATTAAGTATTAATTTTGTGTGTTGTTATATATATACTGTTTTCTGTTGTATTGATATATTGTAAAAGTGTTTACTTTGTGTACACTTAACCCTTTATGGGTATGCATGTTATGACGTTTGCAATAATACATACGAGGGGTGATCCAAAAGTCTTGGACGCCCCGCTCAAACTTTGCTATTTTCTAATATAATAAGATGAAACTTTCAGATAATAAAGATCAACATGTTAAAAACTTTGTGTATAAGTTTCATATAAGAAAATAATATATTTTAGCTACTTTTTTAAATATTTTTTGATACTGGGTCCTTGCTACCCGGAACGGTATTTAAATACTGGAAATCACGTCACAACTGTTATAATATGGCAAATATTTTAGGTGCAGGTGCACAACCTAACACCAGTCATGATATGAGACAATTTCCGATTTTTAGTCTGAGTGTCATCTGCCACCACCATCTTCACATATTGAGACCTACTTTTCAACATATTTTCCACGAATTTGAACACGTTTTCATACCGCTTTACCAATGAATGAAAGACATTTATGAAACCGTCATTGCTTATGTCATACAAATGCTGCTGGAGTGCCACTCTAAACCCCATCCAATGAGTAAAAAAACATTTTCTTTCAACCCTCCTGTCAACTTTGAGAAAAAGAAGGAAAATCACACGGAGCCATATCTAGACTGTATCGTGCATATGGTAGTTGCTCAAGGTCAATAATTGTAAAAATATATTGTAGTATTCTTTGTTTCACTTTGATTTCTTTCATGTTCTGCATTTCAGCAGCTATCTTGGAGCAAAAAAGATACTAGAATGAAGGTTGATTGTCTTATGTCATTTTCTTAGAATTGACATATATGGCCATTGTCATATGTGACATTATGATTAAAACACAATTAATTGGTTGCCTACTAGTAACAAAGGAAATAAACTAACATGGTTTAACATTCAAAATTTAAGAAAAGATAGTGGTCAAGACTTGCAAAACAAGTCAAATAGTGGCAACATTTAAGGCTGAAAGTTGCAATATGCGAATACCGTTCCGGGTGGCAGGGTCACTATATTTATAACTATTGAGAAAACTACATAAATTATATCATTTCACCATGAAATTAATACACAAAGTAGTTAGGTTGTTGGTCTTTATTATTGGAAAGTTTAAAGTAATTTTATCAAAAACCAACAAAATTAGAGCAGGCCGTCCAAGACTTTTGGATCACCCCTCGTAAAATGACAGGGGTTGTGTATAAAATGCATGGGGTGTCGACTTTTAGCTTGCAACAGAAGATACCTCAAGAAAAGCCGGAGATTGCTGAAGATTTTCTTTGCAAACGAAGTTGGCCGAGGGTACCACGAATGTGAAGAGGACGTCTCTAATTGATCAAAAAGAGAGGCTCGGCATTCTCCGTTGGATTGAATCGGCATAATTCGGTTGTATGGCTTACCTCGATTGAATTCTAAAGATGCTGTTCCAAAATGCATGACCCCAGATTCTTAAGCTTTTAGACGGCATAGTAATAAGGTACAGGGTAACCTAACAAATAGAACCCTCCAAAAATGATATAATTTCTTCAATTCATATGTAATCAGCTTCTTTTTTCATGTACATAAAGTGCAATCTATGGATGATTATGATAATTGTTACATCTCATTAGCCGAAGTTCTGAGATTGCGTGGGGACACCATCATCTGATAAAGAACCCCCCTCCGCCAGATTTTACTTTTAGGGGTACTTAAACCACCATGTGTTTGAGACAAATATCAAAACCATAGCTGACAAATAAGATCTGCATATTCCAAGAGGAATGTGAAAGGGTAATCAACAACTTTGCCCTTACTTAGAATTCAAGTTTGCATGCAAATTAAGCACTTGATCTACACATCGGAAATTGCCCTTATACATGTACACCCTTGGATGTAGGTGCTTTTGAATTTTTTCTACTTTTAATGCGCAAAAGGAAAATTCTATATGTCAATAGACGAATAAGTAATTATGCACGGTGGGTGTCATTTTTGGTGTAACCCTGTATTTTTTTAATCAAGTAAGTTACATCATTTTTATCAGCACTTATTGAACGTGTACATATGCCTGTGTCAAATCTTCTTTATAAAAACGCCTATTCTATTGTCATTTTATGGCAATAGAGATTTTAAGCTTGCAATGTTTTCACAACCTAAATGTGAACGGAAATAGTTAAGCGATGTATTTGTGTGGGCGATTGGTCATACGTATAGGTCGGCGTTTCGATTTTATATGCAAGCTTAATATCCCTGATACCCTTTTTAATGTGCTTAAAATGTTCGAATGATTTTCATCATTTAAAATCACCATGGAAAGCCGATCTGTTAAATCTCGACACAAATCATTCTCACTTTTCTTATGTCTCGAACGATAAAGACGATCGATTTCCAAATAACCATGATAGATTTTTAATCATTTTCGAATAATTGAATTGATATACTTATATATTATTGTCTGATTCCATCGTGTATAGTACCGTGCAATACGACACGTACAGATTAAAGAATCTAGCTTGATCAATTGATTTAAAGAAACGCATTCGTGATCAATGATACGATTAATCCTAATGTCTGCAACCTTTTTTATAACACTAGTTCGCAAGACCAAATAAACCTCCCACCACAAAGGTCAAATCGAGGTCAGCGTGACTTAGGGGGTGCCAAAAATGTTATATTTCATAAAAACAATAATCTATTATCTTTCAAATGAAATAAAAATCTAGGTAATAGCTAGAACTAGAACTGAAATCAATGGAACGCGTAATTGAATAATCAACATTTTCAAGTTATTTTTGTCTTTGACATTCATATTTCAAGAAGTACTACCCATAACAATCGGTGATTTAGTAAGAAAATAGATAATTGCTGACTTAACTATAATTTCTGTCTATGATTTTGCCTAGCAAAGGAATATAAATCGATATAGTGAAATTGAAAAATTGGGGGTAGGGGGGGGGGAATAAAAAATATACATCTAATTTAAAGAGGTTCATCATTATAATTAAACGATACCACAGTTTGCATAAGCATTACGGAACATGCGCAAAAAATTGCAAAGGTATTCATCAAGTAGTTTTTGAAAAAAACTGTTTTTCTTTCGTGAAGAGAACGAGAATCACGAATATTTGGCGAAATTTTATTTTAGTTTTAAAATCCATAAGATAGTCAGTCAATAGTGACTCGATTTTCATGAAATAAAGCATGTTGGTAAGAGAATTCAATCTGTTAATTGATTATTTGCCAAACAGAGCAATAATGATTACTTTGCATTTTTACAGTATTAGAATTGTAGAAACAAGGTATTAACTTTCAACAT